CTCCTCCTACTTCCTCTTCTCACTTTGACTCTTTGACTGATTCACATTGATTATATCCGATGAGCCAGCTTACTGTGAAAAACATAAAAGTTCTAATGATCTGCTTCCTCTCTGCCCACTGTTATTTATTCCAGGGAACAAAACTTTGCTTCAGGAGCTACTTCCCTGCAGCTGAGGGTAAGAAGAAGGCAGCCTAGGTTCATCTGTCCCTTTCCACAACCCTTACCTTGTCCTAAAGTCATTTCCCAAACACTAAACGGTAGGCAGTATATTTATTTTGTTAAATAAGGAGGGGGAAGAGCATGGAGGGTAGAGGATGAGATTCCACATTGTCATTTAAACCTTATATGCAGGTTATAAAATGCTATGATTTGATGCATTATGATTCATCTCTGGAATGAAATTCAAAATAGGTATGTATTCTACTTGAAAATTCCATTCATACAAATTAATTTGGGGAGAAGTGGTCAGAATTGCTATATATACACATATATATGGAGAAGGCAATGGCACCCCACTCCAGTACTCTTGCCTGGAAAACCCCAGGGATGGAGGAGCCTGGTGGGCTGCAGTCCATGGGGTCACTAGGAGTCGGATATGACTGAGTGACTTCACTTTCATGCATTGGAAAAGGAAATGGCAACCCAATCCGGTGTTCTTGCCTGGAGAATCCCAGGGACAGGGGAACCTGGTGGTCTGCCGTCTATGGGGTCACACAGAGTCGGACACAACTGAAGCAACTTAGCAGCAGCAGCATATGTATCTATATGTGTGTATATATATGTCACATTCACACAGCCAGAGTATATGTTCTCCTCACCCCAGTCAGTCTCTGGGAAGACAGACTTACTCCTCTCCAGCTAATCAAATTCATGTCCTAGGCAAAGTTCTGTAGTCTGTGAGGGCTGCCTGGGCTTCTGGAGGTCTAGCCTGCATCTAGGCTATTTTTGTATCCCAGCAACAAGCAATCAGGTGCATAATAGGGATTCACTACAAATGTACAGGATAAATAAAAATGAAAAACTTCCAGAAAATTACTAGAGCTAATCAACAAATATAGTAAAGTTACAGGATATAAAATTAACACAGAGAAATCCCTTGCATTCCTATACACTAACAATGCGAAAACAGAAAGAGAAATTAAGGAAACAATACCATTCACCATTGCAACAAAAAGAATAAAATACTTAGGAGTATATCTACCTAAAGAAACAAAAGACCTATACATAGAAAACTATAAAACACTGATGAAAGAAATCAAAGAGGACACAAACAGATGGAGAAATATACCGTGTTCATGGATTGGAAGAATCAATACTGTCAAAATGACTATACTACCCAAAGCAATCTATAGATTCAATGCAATCCCTATCAAGCTACCAACGGTATTTTTCACAGAACTAGAACAAATAATTTCACAGTTTGTATAGAAATACAAAAAACCTTGAATAGTCAAAGTAATCTTGAGAAAGAAGAATGGAACTGGAGGAATCAACCTGCCTGACTTCAGACTATACTACAAAGCCACAGTCATCAAGATAGTATGGTACTGGCACAAAGACAGAAATATAGATCAATGGAACAGAATAGAAAGCCCAGAGATAAATCCACGAACCTATGGACACCTTATCTTCGACAAAGGAGGCAAGAATATACAATGGAAAAAAGACAACCTCTTTAACAAGTGGTGCTGGGAAAACTGGTCAACTACTTGTAAAAGAATGAAACTAGAACACTTTCTAACACCATACACAAAAATAAACTCAAAATGGATTAAAGATCTAAATGTAAGACCAGAAACTATAAAACTCCTAGAGGAGAACATAGGCAAAACACTCTCCGACAGAATATTGGAAACAAAAGCAGAAATAAACAAATGGGACCTAGTGAAAGTTAAAAACTTTTGCACAACAAAGGAAACTATAAGCAAGGTGAAAAGACAGCCTTCAGACTGGGAGAAAATAATAGCAAACGAAGCAACAGACAAAGGATTAATCTCAAAAATATACAAGCAACTCCTGCAGCTCAATTCCAGAAAAATAAATGACCCAATCAAAAAATGGGCCAAAGAACTAAACAGACATTTCTCCAAAGAAGACATACAGATGGCTAACAAACACATGAAAAGATGCTCAACATCACTCATTATCAGAGAAATGCAAATCAAAACCACAATGAGGTACCATTACACGCCAGTCAGGATGGATGCTATCAAAAGTCTACAAGCAATAAATGCTGGAGAGGGTGTGGAGAAAAGGGAACCGTCTTACACTGTTGGTGGGAATGCAACCTAGTACAGCCTCTGTGGGGAACAGTGTGGAGATTTCTTAAAAAACTGGAAATAGAACTGCCATATGACCCAGCAATCCCACTTCTGGGCATACACACCGAGGAAACCAGATCTGAAAGAGACACATGCACCCAATGTTCATCACAGCACTGTTTATCATAGCCAGGACATGGAAGCAGCCTGGATGCCCATCAGCAGACGAATGGATAAGGAAGCTGTGGTACATATACACCATGGAATATTATTCAGCCATTAAAAAGAATTCATTTGAATCAGTTCTAATGAGATGGATGAAACTGGAGCCCATTATACAGAGTGAAGTAAGCCTTTTGGACTCTGTGGGAGAAGGCGAGGGTGGGATGTTTCGAGAGAACAGCATCGAAACATGTATATTATCAAGGGTGGAACAGGTCACCAGCCCAGGTTGGATGCATGAGACAAGTGCTCAGGGCTGGTGCACTGGGAGGACCCAGAGGGATCAGGTGGAGAGGGAGGTGGGAGGGGGGATCAGGATGGGGAATACATGTAAATCCATGGCTGATTCATGTCAATGTATGGCAAAAACCACTACAATATTGTAAAGTAATTAGCCTCCAACTAATAAAAATAAATGGGGGGGGAAAAAAACCAAAATGAAAACTTTCTCTAGCCTCCTATAATCATTCCCCTGCTTAACTCTAGTATACTTGCTGTCCGTACCACTCTTTCAAACCTTGGTAATTAATCTCTTTAAGGGTGATTGCTTTTTTCTTCCCATCCAGGTTGCCAGTTCCTTGAGAAGGATAGTGCTTCATTTTTTCCTCCACATTTCTTTCTAATGCCTAATATGGAGATGGTGCTTACAAATATCATCGATTTAAACACTTTCCTTTTTCTTGACAGCAGTTTCTATTGGGAACCACCTTTAGAGAGCTGATTTTGCAGAAGGCGCAGTTTTAATTTTAAAACTTTAAAAATCTTAATTAAAGAAAATTGTATTTATTTTTGGCTGCACTGGGTCTTTATTGCAGTACACGGGCTTCTCATTGCAAGTCTTCTTGCTGCAGACACAGGCTTTAGAGCACTTGGACTTCTGGTGTTATATAGCATGCGGGCTCAGCAGTTTTGGTACAAGGACTTTTTGCTCCCCTGCATGTGGGATCTTCCAGAATCAGAGATCTAACCCTTGTCCCCTGCATTGGCAGGCGGGTTCTTAACCATTGGACCACCAGGGAAGCCCCACAGTTTTATTGTAAGCACATCTATCTAAAAAAAGCTCTGACTGCCAGCATTTCAAACAAAGAGATAAATTATTAGCCCCCTGCTGCTTGGTTTGGTTCAATCACATTTACTGAGGAGTTGCTTTGAACCTGATACTGAACCAGGCAATGTTTCTGCCTCACAGGAACATTCAGAGAAGACAGGAGATGCCTTGCTGCCTACCCTTGACCTGGGGATAATGCTTGTCCTCACCAGCTGGTCACAGATGACCAGCAGGCAGTGTTCATGGTCCCAGTCACCTGCCTTGGACCTCTCTGGATGGTGACTTGGACCTTCTGCTTACCTTGTGCAGCCACCTTCTGGGTGCTACCAAATCGCTGCCTCCTCTCCCATCCTTCAGCCTCCTTTGTGAGCCAGAATAGATTTTGCAGCAAGTTAGGTTACTTGACTGAAAAGTCTGCACTGTCTTTTCAGTAAACTTCAAACTAATTTGCTTAAGAAGTTAAGTAACATGCAAGTGTGAAATCAACGCTGGTAAGGCTAATAACAGGGATTTCAAGCTGTGTTGTAACACACCAGTCACCGAGTATTCACGTGTTAATTCACTGGCATGTTCTCTGGCATAAGCACCCCTATCCTTCCTTCCCCCATTCCAAATGTTGTGCTGCAGCAGAATTTGGTCTGAGTCTGGGCAGAGTCCCTCTTGAAAAGCAGTCCTCCAGCTTCTTTACAGCAAGAGTCTGCTGAAAGTGATTCTTGCCTTCCCCTCGCACACAAAGGCAAGGAGCTCTTTAAAGGGACCTTTCTGCTCCTCCTTGCAGCCGCAGGCGGCGTGGGTACGGATTCAAAGACCCAGGCTTTTGCCTGAAAATGAGTGGGGAGGGGTCTTGAGGAGCTCCCAGGACCTCCCTGAGTGGGCCAGGGAGGGAGCGGACAGCCTGAGTGGATGGGGAGCACCGGCCCCCGGGGAACGGCTCGCCATTAGCTGCTTCTCGGGATGCTCCACGCGCCAATAGAGCATCCTGCCTGTGGTCCAAAGGGTGCTGGCGGCGCATCTTGCGGTGTGCCTGCGTGGATGTGAGCCATCGCCCAGAGGCGAGCCCGCATTCAGGCACGGCGGACGGGCTTCTGGCAGGGCTGCGTGCAGTCAGCACGAATGCTTAGCTCCAGGCGTCTGCCCAAGCCTCCCGACTACACGGATTCGGCTGTTTAATCAAGCGAGATTACTGCCTGGGAAGATTTGCGAGCCTGATCCGCGCTCCAGCTGCCGTGACAACTTAAGGGCTGGCTGTTTACTTCTGTTGGTGCCTGGGACCCTGTCCTGCGCCGCGGCCGCTCCTGCCACTTTCCCGGACTCGGAAGCCAGCCGCGAGGACTCCTCGGCCGGCATTCCGAGGAAGAGGGAGCAAGGAGGGGTTAAAAGGCGAGCAGACCCTCCCAGCTGCTCGATCTCTCCTGACTGCCTGTGCTCTGGGGTTCTGAGAGGGACCGCGCGGTGCCCGGGGAAGCAATGCAAGTCTCCATAGCCTGCACCGAGCATAATTTGAAGAGTCGGAATGGTGAGGACAGACTTCTGAGCAAGCAGAGCTCCACCGCCCCCAATGTGGTGAACGCAGCCCGGGCCAAATTCCGCACGGTTGCTATCATCGCTCGCAGCCTGGGCACCTTCACCCCTCAGCATCACATCTCTCTCAAAGAGTCCACTGCAAAGCAGACTGGCATGAAATATAGGTATGGACGTACTGATAAGATTCCCTCTGCCCCGGGTTTCTGTGTTCTATTACCGGTGTAGTGGAGACAATTCTTTGGTTTTGAAAAGTGACTTACTTATTGGTGGGCTGCTTAATTTAGAATTTTCGGGTGTCTTTAAAATAGAAAAGGTGTCTTTCCTTAGGAAAGTGGAAAACCCAAGGTGGTTGTGTGGTGTTGTTTTATGTATTGGATTTTAAAACTGTGGCCCATTTTGTATATTCTTAAGTGTTACGAACACCTTAGGAGCTGTATGAATTTCGTCTTCAGAGATTAACACAGCAGCTGAAAACTGGTATTGAGATGAGAGTAGCTTTTCAAGAGCAAATGTGCCTGTTCTATTTTATGGTACAGACTGTAGTTTATGTGATTATACTATTAAAAATAGTTTTCCATCTAGTACTGTATTCTTATTTATTTTTTAAAAGCCCAAGGTGACAAATGCTGGGCAGCCTTTTAAGGAAGTTCTGTTACAGGGAAGAAACACCTATATTGGTAAGTTAGTTTGAACATTGACATACTTAAACCTAAATTATTCTTGAAATACAGTATTCTTGAAATACCTTATGAAATATTGAGGAAAAATCAATTGTAGTGATATTATTGATTTCTTCATAAATTTTTAAGCTCCCCTTTCCTCTATGCTGCTTTCCAGAGTTGGAAATCTTCCTGGTAATAGTTGATGCTCTCTTTAATAGGGAATGACTGAAATTTGATAAGTAAAAAATTTCATTATTTAATTCTGTGACTCTTGCCTCCTTGTTGTATTTGTTTTGTGCCGAATCTTTCTGACTTTATTTCTTTAAAACTCCTGTGCTTTTTGTCTCTAAAAGTCTTTGCAGATGTAGAGAAGAGCTTATGATGTGTTTTCCAAAGGCTTTGGTGATCTAGTTTGCAGATATGACTTTGTCAATTATTTACATTTAGCTTTCCCTCATCTTTGTTAGGAACCAGGTTTTAGGATGAAAGGAACTTAATACAATTAAAATAATGCCCGTGAACACTTAAGACTAGGTTTTCCTTATGGGGATTCTGAAATAAGCATTCAAACCGATTTCTATAAAAGTTGTTCTTGAAACAAGTTTCTTTGCAGAGTTAACAGGGAATCTCATTGAAAAAACAGCAAGCCCTGTTGTTTTGGTATATTTTTGAGCCATTAAGAAATAAAGCCTTGACTTTGATGGGGTAGACTCACTAAAAGTTTATAGCTAAAGCGCTTTGCCCCCGCTGCAGTACAGTGCAAGCAGCCTAACTCCAGGCAACTCCTTGAAGTATCACTGGTGTGAGGACCTCTGCTTCTCCTGATATTTCCAGGGTGGAGAATGGGGCCACCATTCTCCATGAGAGGTTGACAACGAGGACTGCAGTCTTGAGCGCACTGACATTCTCCATTGCTGCTCCTGGGGCTCACACCCAGCCTCTGCCCCACGGCCACGGTGCTGCTCCGCCTGCACTTGTGCTGCCCTGATGGAGATGGAGAGGAGTTGCCGCCTTCCTGGGCAGGGCCCCTGGGAACGGGACACTCAGGTTAAAGCAGAGTGCAGAGGTAATTCGAACTGTGGCCTTCAGCAGCACCTAGAGCTCTTTTTGTAAGCCAGAAGGGATAAATAGTAACACCCTTCATTTCTTGTGGCAGAGTTTCATAGTTGCTTGTGAATCAGTGTATTGGAAGAGTTTCATCTTAGGAAGGCAGGAGATTTCCATTAAGGTTTTTTCTGATAATAAAGCTCAGCTCAGTTTGAATGGTAATACACACCAAAAGCTCAGTGTATAAGATTCACTTGGGCATCTTTCATTACTATCAACTAAGGACAGCTCTTTCCTGACAAAAAGCTAGCCATCTGCAGTCTTCAGGATAACTTGAAGTATTTGTTGTTTATGGTGACTGGACATTACCTGGTTTCCACTCCCCCTCTTATTCTGAATTGTTCCATCTATGACAGGCAGGTGGCTTTGTGTGTCTGTGAGTGTGACTTAACTCCTTTGTCTTTCAAATTCTACTTAGAGTGACCTTCTAGGAAAGAGATCAGGAGATTATGTCAAATGTACACTAAGACTTTCTTAGGGTTGGAGAAAGAAAGAAGAGAAAAACAGAAGTGGGAGGAAAAGAGCCTATAATACACTTTATAAAAATGATAGAAATATTTTAGTAGTTATATTAGTTATATTTTTTGACATTGATGTGTATGCAAAAACTATTTATTACTAATGATGTAGCAAAAAATTAAAAAAATAATGCCATAGAGTTGGAGAGGTAATTGGCTTGGGTAAACAATCAGGAGAATGCCTGAAGGATCTCGAATGGGAAATCAGTGGCTAATTGTGTTTATAATAATATTCCTCATCCTTGAAAAGGATTTCCATTCTTATCTCTTAATTGGGATCCATGAGTCCTATAAAATATTGTCTTCCTGTGTGTATTTTTGAGGAGAGGGTTCGTAGCATTGGTCAGAATTTTTAAAGTGTCTACCACTCAGTAATTGTCAAAAAAAAAGTTATGAAATAAAGAGATATCCATTTAATCAACAAATATTTACTGAGCACCTGTTCTGTGGCAAGAACCCTATCAGAAATGGGTACACAAACGTATAGAAACCAGATAAGGTTTGGGATTTGCATTCTTAGGAAAACAGACCATGAATAAGCAAACTCACAAATACATAATAATTTTCTACTATAAGATGTTTTTATGAAGGCCGTATTTGGGGGGTTCATAGTCAGACCTCAACCAACCTATTTGTCCATTTTGAGGTTACTGTCTCTGCTGTGGTTGCATCTTGGGGCATGAGTCATTGTGCCCATATCTGCCACCTATTTGCCATCCCAGGGACTTCTTTCAGGTTTCAACCTTGCTGTAGGAGGCTACCTGGCCATTGAGGACCTACTTACAATCCTGAGTAGAATGCTTTCTATTCATTTAATACCATATGATTTTTAAAGCAAAACTCATAGCTTATAATTTCCATCCTGACATTGCCAACCTGACATTAATAAGGAACTTGTGAACTTGGGATTTTAGATAGAATTAATATACACTTGTATGAAGCATCTGAATTTTGCAAGAATACTGTAAGCCACTTTTACCTTCACATTAGCATTGTGCAAGAATCTTACATAAAATTAACTATTGTTTCAAGGCTGATGGTGAGAAAAAAAATCCACCAGAGCAATCTGCTATTCAAATGTCACTGTAAGTTCAAGAGAACAAAATTCCATCTTGGGAACTATCTTGTGTGTAGATAATACAGGACTATTGTGTTTCTTATAGTTTTTATACTTGTGCCTTATTAATACATGAGAGGCCCTATCTTAGTTTTGCATATATTTTTAATATTAAAGTTCATCACACTGTTCGAGTTTGATATACACTCTGCAGGTATACATGATAGATGTTTACATGATATATATACATGTGATGATATATATACATGTGGTGGACATCACATAGAGGTAGATACATACATGAACCTTTTATCCTAAGAAAGGCAAATCACTCAGAACAGAAGTTAAGCCAGGTTTTTTTGGTTGTTTTTGTTTGATTGATTCATTGGGTGTTTTTTTTTTTTTTAGAATTATCCATTTACTAGTGATGGACGTGATCTCAGAGCTTTTGTTATTCATGTTTGAACACATTTGTGCTGATAAGCTACTCCTCTATTCCAAAATTTTTACTTTAGTTCCAGAACAAGTTGAATGTCAATGAACCCAATTTCATGAAAAAAGTATTATTTGTAACATAAACATTTATATCAATATAACTGTGTGTTATATAGTTGCATAAAACACACTTTGAAATTCTTAAGAGAATTATTTACAAGAAGGAAATTGTCTAAGCAATAAACCTTAATTCCACTATAAAACTTTTCCTTTTTTGGAGTCAATCCACTCTACCTTTTTTGGCATTATTAAATTTTTTAATTCAAATAATTATAGATCACAGACATTCAGAAAAAAATACAGGGAATTTTTATGTAACTAAATGATGTTTTCTCCAGTGAGAACATCTTGTATAACTATAGCACAGAGTCAAAACTAGTAGATTGACATTACTGCGATCCATAGAATTTGTTCAGATTTTACTGGTTATCATGCATTCGTGTGTGTGTATTTCTATGTCTGTGCAATTAACCACATGTATAAGTTTGTGTAACTGCCACCACAATGAAGCATTAGAATTGCTTCATCACCACAAAGTGAAAAAGAAAGAAAGTGAAGTTGCTCAGTCATGTCCGACTCTTTGCGACCCCGTGGACTGTAGCCTACCAGGCTCCTCCGTCCATGGGATTTTCCAGGCAAGAGTACTTGAGTGGGTTGCCATTTCCCTCTCCAGAGGATCTTCCTGACCCAGGGATCGAACCCGGGTCTCCCACATTGTAGGCAGACGCCTTACCGTCTGAGCCGCCAGGGAAATCTCTCATACTACCCCTCTACAGTCACATCCATGTCCTCTTTCGCAGGCCCTAATCCTTAGCATCCACTGGTTCCTGATCCTCTATAATTTGTGGTTTCAAGAACATTATATAAATGGGATCATACAGTTTGTAATATTTTGGCATTGGCTTTTTCCATTCTGCATAACTCTCTTGAGACTCATCCAGATTGTGTGTATCAATAGTTCATTCCTTCTTCTTACTGAGCAGTAGCTCATGGTAAGGATGTTTCATGATTTTTTTGACCATTCATTCACTGAAGAACAGTTGGGTTGTTGTCATCATTAGATAACTTCAGATTAGAGAATTATTCCCAAATTTCTTCATTGCCATCCTGTAGCTTGGGGGATAAAATCCCAGCTACCTAGCATGGTACCTGAGATGCTTCATGGTCTGGCATAGAGCAAGCTTTACAGTCACTACTCTGTTCTTATCTCTGACAGCTTGTTTTATCAGAAGTCCTTACTTGAGAGAGAATTCTTTATAGTACCCTGGACCTTCTTGGTTTTTTATGCCTCTGTATCATTTTCCATGCTGGTCCTCCTACCCTGG